TCTAAATGAATCGATTGAAAATTACCATTCTGAACAGCATAAAACAATGGAGTGATATTTTGAACAGTTGTGGCATTTACATTTGCACCATTGTTGATAAGATATTTAACTAATTCCGCTGAGCCTGAAATATTCAGAAGAAAAACAGTTAGCATCACACATAGAAATTATCGGTCAAAGACTTACATCCTATATGAAATTGACGTTTATGTCGTGTGGAAAAAAGTGACTGACTGATTGGCTAGCTAAAATCGACTGAAATTGAAAATTGTTAACTGAAGTCGTCTATCCAGTCGACTTAAGTCGTCTATGTATCTCATTTTAAACAGATGACAAATTTGGGACATTTTTGTCTATAGTCAACTGCGATTGATGTTGAATTAAGTTACATTTTTCTCTTCTAGGATTGACTGAAAAATCAGACAAAACAACTTCAATCTCAGTTGGCTTTAGCCAAAAACGTCCCAAATTAGTTAACTCATTAGTCAGTCAGTAATTTTCCACATGGAGGATTGGTCAAAATACACTGGATTATACAGATTTCTTATAAATGTGAATTTTATATAGGATGTGTGTGATAATTACTAACACTTGATATTTATGGTTTTCAAACATATAGAAAATTACCATGTAGAGATGCCATGTGTAGGGGTGTAGCATGACTGTTATCTGTAGAATTCACATCAGCTCCATGTTCAACAAGATATCTGACAATTTCCCTGTTACCTGTAAAATATACGAAGTTCTTTTGAAACAACCTTTCTTCTAAATTAGTCGATTGAAAATTACCATTCTGAACAGCCAAAAACAAAGGTGTTTGGTTGAATACAATTGTATCATTTATATTAGCTCCATGTTCAATTAAATATTTAAACATTTCATATGTGCCTGAAATGTTGTGCAGATAAATAGTTAGCGATCCTACCACGTTATTTCCATTTTCAAAATCTATATTCCAAGCACTGAAATTGCACTGTTCACCCGGGGTTTTGACACCGTGCGGAGCGAGAAACGAAGAAAGTACATATAGCGTATATGTAGTGTATACGCTTCATGATGCTATGCGTCTTATCCTTTATTCCATTTTTCATCCATTTGCATACATTTTAGCAAATGTTGCTACACGCTACATAGCAAACAGATGAAAGAGGAGAATAAAGAATAAGACACAAGGCAAAAAGCGTATACACAGTACACGCATACATGTACTTGTATTTCTTCTCATCTCGCTCCGTATTCTATTTCGTGTTTTCGTAACTTACGCACGGTATCAAACCCCCGGGCGAACAGTCCAATTTGAGTGCTCGGGTAGCTCCATGAGTGATGAGGTATTCAACCATTTAAGATGTACTTGAAATATTATGCAGAGAAACAATTGGCTTAACTATTTGGCGATCATGCTTGATATTTTCAGTTTTCAAGTTTTTACCATATCTAATTGTCCAGTAAAGTGGTGTTTGATTATAGATGGTTCTAGAATTCACATCAGCTCCGTGTTCGACAAGATATTTGACAATCTGCATGTTACCTGTAAAATATACGAAGTTCTTATGAAACAAAATTTTCTTCTAAAATAGTCGATTGAAAATTACCATTGCCAGCAGCCAAAAACAATGTAGTTTCATTTTCGACAGTTGTAGCATTCATATTTGCTCCATGTTCAATTAAATATTTAAAAATTTCAAATTTGCCTAAAATGTTGTGCAGATAAATAGTTAGCGACCTGACTAGTAGTGTGCGAGAAAAAAATTCAGGGAAATTATTCGAATTGATATCATTTTTTGTAGAGGTTCATTTTTTTCAGTGAAAATCCCCAGCAAATCTAAAGAATTTTCTCTGCGAAAAACCCCATGAAATCGGAAAAATTTCGCTCGCATCCAAAAAACCCTTACAAATCGAAAGAATTTAATATACTATTTCCATTTTTTGTTGAGCAAAAAAAAGGTCTTCACTCTTTTAATCAAAACCCTAGCAAATTCGAATAATTTCCCTGAAATTTTTTTCTCATCAACGAACCCCCCCACACTACTCGATCTGACCACGTTATTTCCATTTTCAAAACCTATAAATTGGCTATATAATCAATAATTACCATATCGAGCGGCGTTATGGAGTGGCGTCCATTTATCGATATCTTCGGCATTTACCTGTGCACCATGAGTGATTAAAAACTCAACCAATCTCAATTCTTCTGAAATATTAAACAGAGAAACAGTTAGCTTAACTACTTTAGCGATCGTAGCATTCACGCTTTCTATTTTCAGTTTCCAAACGTATAGAGAATTACCTCTATAGACCCAGTGAAGTGGTGTATAATTATATTCATCTCTAGAATTCACATCAGCTCCATGTTCGACAAGATATTTGACAATCTGCATTTTACCTGTAAAATGTACGAAGTTCTTATGAAACAACCTTTCTTCTAAATTAGTCCATTGAAAATTACCATTCTGAACAGCCAAAGACAATGGAGTATCATTTTTGTTAGTTGTAGCATTTATATTAGCTCCATGTTCAACTAGATAACTAAACATTTCAAATGTTCCTAAAATGTTTTGCAAATAAATAGTTAGTGATCCGATCATATTATTTCCATTTTCAAAACCTATATATAGGCCATATAATCAATAATTACCATGTTCAGCAGCCTCATGGAGTGGCGTCCATTTATCATTGTTTTCGGCATTTACGTTTGCTCCATGAGTGATGAGGTATTTAACCATTTCAAATGTACCTGAAATATTAAACAAAAAAACAGTTGGCTTAACTACTTTGTCGATCACGCTTGATATTTTCAGTTTCCGAACATAAAGACAAATACCATATGTTAAATAAAGTTTAGATGCCCAGTAAAGTGGTGTATAATTATCTTTGTCTCTAGAATTAACATCAGCTCCATATTCGACAAGAATTTTGACCATCTCCATGTTACCTGTAATGTACGTAAATGTACGAAGTTCTTATGAAACAACTCTTTTTTCTAAATTAGTCC